AAATTATTTTAAATATAAATTAACAATATTTAAAATTTATTAATTAATAATATTTATAATAATAAAAAAATTAATAAAAAATTTAATTTTTAATAAATTTTTTAATTTTTAGACTAAAAAATCATAACAACTATTTAATCAAATTTGATAATTTTTATTTTAATATTAAAATTAAAATAAAAAATCAATTAAATTTAAATAAAAAGTTATTAAAATATTTAAACTTAAAGTTAAACTTTTATTTAAAAAAATTGGTTTTTCTATTATAAATTTTTTAAAAAATTTTTAAAATATACTTAATTTACAAACACTAAATCAAAACTATTAGTTTAAAAAATAAAATAATAAAATTTACTAAAAATTATTAAAAATTTATATATATTTTTTTTTACTAAAATAATTAACTTTGATCTTCTAAATAACCATGTTTAGCAGATTAATTTATATTAATTAGATTTAATTTTTTGAATGTTTTACTAATATAAAAATTAAATTTAATTTTTTGAATGTTTTACTAATATAACAATTAAATTATTTAATTTTTTTTCTTATAAAATTGATTAAAATTCGTGTGACTAAAAAAATGCATTTTAACTGGTTAATTTTGAATGCACTGTCGTGCAGGTGCACACAAACATAAACTCCAAAATATAGAAATACAGTACATCATAGAAATTTAGTTTAATCTATTTTGAGCCTTGAAAAACAACTCTTTGTTAAACCCCTATTTAGTAAAAAATCTCACAAATCATTATTCCGGGCAACTTATTTAAGAAACAGCTTGTTATATTATGACATATCATGTGATTATCTATATTTCGGCAATTTTTACCAAAGGAATGTTACAAATCTGGAATAGCCTACTTAACTGCTATTTGTTTTTTCCCGCCATATGCCTATCTTCTTCATTTTATCTGAACAAAGACTCCTAAAAACATGGATAAATTATTAATCGTATATCAAAAAATGTTCCATTCGAAATTCTTTATTGCACAGGCCAATTAAAATGGCGATTTTAAAGGCAAGATGACCTTATATGACGCATGATTCGCCATAGTTGGTAGCCGTTTTGTTAATAAATGTAAATTGCAAAGTTTAAATCTCTAACGCACCCTACAACAGGATCGACCGTTCAAATTCGTAGACGATTCCTATACAATTACACATGATTGTCAATCAGATTACAAAAAAAAAAGTTGTGGGATTCAAAGTATCAAAGCAAAAACATTAATTCATCCGTTAAATTTACTCGCATTTCATAAAAAATTAAGATACCCCGAGCTTTTAAAAGAAGTATTGTAAAATGTATAAAAAAAATTATTTATCAATTGTATACCATATCAGAATCATCTACGAATTTGAATGTCGCTCCTGTTGCACCCTACCGTTGTTGATCTGATCTCCTTCGGCATGATCCGTGCTTAATGAAAGTTATTATGTAAACATTTTTGGTAATAGAGTTACAAATAAAGCCCGACGGCACGCCGCGCACGTCACGTGACCGTTATACTATGAAGTTAAATTACCGTTAGCGTTAGAAGTCATATTCAACATATGATATTCAACAGATAACGGTTAATGATATTTGCAAAATGATTAATAATCTGTACAGATAGCACGTGACTGTGATCTTCAGATGAATGATCTGCAATACAATAAAGTTAATATTATACTTGGCAAAGGAAAATTGGCGAACAAAAAGAACGAAATAAAGTATAGCACATAAATGATGGACTTTGTGTGACTTAATTTTTTCCCATTTCAGTATTTAGCATTAGCCTTAATATAAAAATTAAAAATGATCAAACATAAATCGCGATTATAATTTGATTGATAATAGGGATTCTACTGTCCAACTATAGTAAGACGCGATAGCAGTTTATAACTATAGATTGTCGTGAATTATGATAATTAGATTTTGCTCTAACTATTATTCGGCTATTATTCAGTATCATTCAATATTATTTAATATAATTCAATATTATTCGGCGCTTGCATTTGCAGCAGATCGGGTTAGTTCTCTGCATTGACCTCCCTCCAAACACAATCCTTTTTTTAAAGAAATATTACCAATTTATTGTTTCACGGCATGCATATATACACATTTGACTCCATAATTCTCTCATGCGCGTTATTTGTGACTTGTCCTCACGATCGAATTTGTTAAATATCATAGCGTGACGTTTTGAAATATTTCACAGTTAAATGTTAATTATCATAGCGTGACGTTTTGAAATATTTCACAGTTAAATTGAGTTAAATTGTCTACTTTTTTTTTATCACAATAACTTTAAATACCAATGCACTGTTATCATCAATATACTGTTATCTTATCTAATGGCCACACGACATATTGATTGACTAATCATATTGAAACTATTTATTCTTAACTTACTTTTAACATGATTCGTTATTGCATATATTCATTAAAGGAAACAATTTGATATAGCAGCACTTTGAATTATAAATTATTTAATGCTGTATTTCAATGTCTGACTCAGAGTTTCCATTTAAAATGAACAAAAACGAACAAAAAAGTTCACACGGACATTTTTCATGAAAAAGTCCCGTGTCGTTATCAGTCCTAAAGAGCAATATACTCAAATCTCACCATTTGCCTGTTTACAAGCTGCATGCATTATTATTTTGAATGTAAATAATGTTTAACCAATCTCGGCAAGTTTCCAATCTTATTCCCCATTTATGAAACAAATTAGTTAAACGCGAGTAATATCAGAATTTAGTGCGCGATAAAATGTAATTAGATCACAATAATTATATCATAATAACAACGCGAGACAAATGCATGCACCCAACGTTTGCTTACACAATTTAACGCGTGTTACTCTTTTTTTTAAATGAAACAAACCTCCTTGGGAATTATTTAATGGTGCGCGGCGAGTCCCGTAAACATGCATTGTGTACACTTATGTTTTTAAAGAAACGTAGATAAGTGTATATACAATCAATATATAAAATCAATATAAATTTTTAAGGGTCGTTTCAGGGTCAATTCGAATTGTTCAATTCGTTTTTATCACAATTAAAACAACCAATAGTATTATTTAGGTAATTTATGGAAATGTTTTTGAGTGGTTAAACCCTTGCAGATGCCAAAAAAATAATTTAATACATCGATCATGATTAAATTATACATTGTTTTATGCTGTAAGTAATGATTTTAATCTTAATTTTGATCTAATAATAAGAATCCAAACTAAGTTACAATGTTCTGTAAACAGGCCGTTTGCCACCGAAAGTGCATGTAAGCACGAACAGACGGGAATAATTTTTTTTGCACATGCCAGAGCCGAAGCTGGATACATTTGACGCCCTTGTTAAATGGACCTGTTTGTTCTTTCAAAGCCACGCCAAATGTCGATTAATTAGTATGCATGTCGTTAATCCTGGTTTTTATAACGGGCAATTTAAAATTACGTATGTACGTACATCATTTTATGACGTAAGTATGTACATACAAACATAAATGCTATGAATGAATTATTTAGCATTCAAACGAGTATATAGAAAACATGTAATGTATAATTAACGAAGTATGTATCGTAGAATTAAGATTGTATGTGTAGCACATAAAAGAAATTCTTTGAGATTTTCCCTATAACCTATACTAATCTAACATGAAAAAGGGTAACTATTAAAAAAAGATCACTTATAAAAAATAAATGCTATGTATTGTTATTAACCATACATACTTTCGTAAATTTTTTTTTTAGCTTACATCTATGCAAACAACCGCATACATTACTTACATACAAGTTTATATAATAAATATTTCTGTAATACCCCATTCGAGCACTTTAGATTACATACTTGGGAAAATCTTCCGAAGGCCATTTTTCCGAAAATACATACCGACAAATCAGCCAAAATTGGGAGCTTGAGGTTCTATCCATGTCTCTATGCTATAATATGGTCTCATCCTAGAAATAACTTTCTTAAAAAAAAAACGTAACGATATGTTAATTTGTCCATTATCTAAAATATATTGACCTACTGACTCGTCAATAAATATTTGCCCCCGTGCCAAGTACAGATTTCTACACTTGTATGAATTAAACCCTTGTACGTACGTACAATGACGTCCATTAGACATCATTCTATTCTTGCCATTTCCACTTCAATCATGATTGAATTCTTGAATTTATTAGCCACATACATGTTCTACATGGAAATAGCTTAGAGAAAAACTATACTAGATAAAAAAAAGGGTATTAAAATCTGTGTTTTTGCGTGGAAAGACTTATAAATTTCTACCCTGCTTCTGATATACTGATAAAATTAATTAATTAATGTTTCTTTAATTATTTAACAAAATGAATAAAATTCTTTTGTTTCTTATTATTATTCTGGCATTTGCTAATTCAGTTAAAACACTCTCAAAAAATGAAAAAGATACTGAGAATTTGTCAAACAAAGCAGTTTTAAAAATTCGTCATCATCAACCGCAACCACAACAAACTGGTGGTTCAGCTCCTGGAAGTACATCTAATCCAAATGCTAGAATAATAATAAGAAACAAAAGAATTTTATTCATTTTGTTAAATAATTAAAGAAACATTAATTAATTA